TAGAATAGAGTATTCCTCTTCATTCAATACCTCTATCTCGATGAAACTGTACCAGAAACGAGAAAAAGACCAAAGAAGTGGGCTGATCTGTGCGAAGCTGAAGCCGGGGAGCCATTGAGGATTTCTTCGATCTCGGGTTCGCCGCTACTGTAAATGCCTAGAGATTTTCATGGCCTGTATATTCTTCTCTATCTCTAGCGGAAAGCTTGAAATTGTCAAGGTACTGCATAAGACACGAATTTGGGATAAGCTGGAAGCCATCTGACTATTTCGAGCGCAAACGATCCTCCGAGTCCCAGACGCATCGCGTTTTGAAATAGAGACTTGTCTAAACGAATAGTAAACTAAACCTACGTTCTACAACTACGCGAAGAAGGTTGTTGAGGCTTCGAACTGCTGCACTAGCTATGTATTTGTGGATTTTAATAAAAACACACGCACGCCGGAGGTCGCTTGTAATCTCAATTGCAAACCCAGAATACAGAATTGTTTTGCTCTTTGAGCTTCGTCTTTGGGGAACGAAATACATCTAAATTACATACTTAGAATGGATCAAGCATTTATAAATATATGAGGAAAGTGAAACAAACGATTAAGATTCGACCCTAAAGCTACCGACGGAGATTGTTGTGCTGAAAGAAAAACGCGCTTCTCAGTCAACCGAAACGCATACTAATAAGTCGAGGACTCCCAGGTTATTAGCATGCGTAAAATGGACATTTCATTCAAAATAACAGTGAAGTAGAAATGTATATATTTAACTGAAAGTATACTGAACCTCTTTTCAAGATCTTGTCAAAGGATTTTCCATGATTTCACCAGTACGGAATATGCAAATTTGCGTACCTTGTGTTCGTACACAGTAATTGAATATGCATAATTATACTACGGTCGGTCGACAATAACGAAGCGAAAAGTTACCTCACCTTCGAATATTGTTTGCCGGCATCCCTGCTTCCCGTGATGGCTGGGCTGCTGCCGACTTTCACACCCGATGCGACTACAAGGGTCCAACGGTGACAGTGATAACGAGTGGAAAGTCCATATTTGGAGGCTATACTGAGCAACAGTGGAAACACGTGGGTAAGCATTTTAACTGACACGCCTGGTCATGATTCCCTGTCTTCAGATTTCCGCTTTTATGTCAGGGGTCCAGTAATATACTTGTGGTTTTGCTCACGGAAGCGAGAGAACAGCTGGGATCCAGTGATCATTTCGATTTAAGTGGATCGCTCCCTACAATGCGCAGGCGTCCTGGCCAATTCCTAAGGCAACAGAATGCCATCACGGACATGTTTGTAATCAAGTAGGACACTCGCTTAGCCCCCTCC